TGAAGAAAGGAAATCCAGACTCAACAAAACGCATTTCAGATGTAGTTCCTACCAGTAACGCTTGTGCTAATTCACGGATAGCTATATTTGAATCCTTAAATAGCTGCTTGCCTTCAGTGGTCTCTGACCTCAGCCACCACACACCCAATTTTCCGCCGGTCACTGGAAGTAATCAACCAACCATATCTTTAAATTATCTGATATCCAGAAGCTAATCAACTGTTCTGTCCCCTCGAATCGCCCTAGTCCTAATTAAATCCCAGCTAGGACATTACAACTCAGCGAACTAGACATAATAATCTTATTTTTGATTATTTCCACATTGTCTCCAGTCCGTAGTGTTATTCTGAAGTCTTGAAGTAGTACTCGGGTTCGAGGTTGACGCCCAATAGTGCCGGTTCTGTGTCTGTTTTCTCTTCTGCAGTTCGATGCACGAGCTGAAAGGTAGGTTATTGGGAAAAAGGTGCGGGCTCTATTATGGTGTCCTTGGGTTTAGGTTGCGTTGGGGAAAAATTGAGAATAAGAAAGAAAGAATGAGAGAAGAGGGGGTAAGAGGGACAAATAGGAGAAAGTGGAGGTGCCAGCCGAAAAAGGGAGGCAAACTAGTTTTGGGGAAGGGTGAGCCTTAGGTGTGAATCTAGCAGGGTTTCGAAGATTATTTTTAAGAAGTAATTCACAATCTCCAGTCAAAGTTTATTGCATTCTCAGATGACCCTGTGAGTGCAGAAATTGGAGTGAATGAAGGTTCTGGGTTGGTGTTTGAAGAGTTTTCTTGGTGTTCCCTAAACTTTCCAGGTTATATCGTGTGAGGAAATGTCAATTGGGCCCAAAGAGAAGAGATTATACAGAAAAAATAAATCCCTTTGCTAAGTCGCATATCTAAGGTACATAGATTTAATTGATTAAGCCGGTTAGTGTAAGGGATTTCTGACAAGCCATGTACTAGTTTTGTGGCTTTTCGCTGAACATACTCTAGAGGGTCTCGGTCGCGAATGAGGCCAGCATGTATGGCTTGGCTGTCATATTCCATCAGTGGACGTATGTATGCATGGAGGAAAGGTCAGGTCAGGTCAGATCGGGTTTCTAGGACGAAAACGGGCTTTCGCCTAACGAGCTACCAGGTTCGCATACCAGTAGGATTTGGGACTTCCTCTAGTGCCACGACGTGAAAATTACTTCCGTGGATTGTGATGGTTAGTGTTGCGTCCGCTTGAGTCCGTAAGTCCATTATGCCTATATAATTATACGAACACCTTGATCTAAGACAAACGGGCTTGAACTTTTCTAATAACGGTCACCCCTCAACTGTACTGAACAAATGCTCACGCGATAACAACGATCAGTCCCTAACTGGAACAAACGTATTCAACCCGATAATAAAGAACAATCCCAAGAACCGAAACCGATGAAAGCTTGTAATGAAAACAGGAACACACACGAAAGACCACGTCGGTTTATAGGGTATATAAAACACATTATAAAAAATTGTAAAAAATAGGAAAAAACATAATTGGATGTATGCTCACCCAAGCAGAACTCAGAAAACAATACAACAAAATGTACACCAAGCTCAACCGACCCGGTCAAACAATATGTGGCGGAGCGAAAGTTGATAATATTGTTGGAACGTTTAATCAAACAGGAAGTTACAGACAGTGAAGAGTAGAAATGACAGAAAATAAACAATAATAAAGAAAAATAGAAAATCTTCCGTTTCAACTACGGTGCGTCTGCTTTCGTAACAGTCAGTATACATTCTGTAGATTCAAGCAAAATTTCACGCGACTAACAACGCTAGGGGTTTACTTCAGGTGATACTGTTGAGTTTTATATCGAAGGTTTACGGAGGAAGGGGGGTTAAGAATACCAACTAACAGCTTCAACATGGGGCCTCACTTTCGCACTCATACCAGTGACCGCAAGTTGTAACGCAGCGAGCACATGCCAGCAAACGGAGCGTCGTATCAATTTTTGTGCGATAGTTTATAGTATTCATTTATGAGCTGCAACAGTGAGTGACTTGCTCAGATACATTTGGATGCGTGCTGAACGATGCGCAACATGAAAAAGGATTAAAATTCCTCTCAATTACTTTAAATTTCCTTAGCTTCCCTCGCTTTTCTATCGTGCATTCTTTCTGACATTCGTTCTTATATTGGTGTTTTTCTTTTCTGAACCTTCTATTTCATCTTTTGCACGGTGAAGCATATTTATTGGGCATGCGCTTTGAGTGCTTTGTATTTATATGTAAGTAGGACTGAGTGCTGTTTCTTGTTTTATTACAAACTCAGTTTCCATTGGACGCTCCTTGTTGGAGTAACCGTTGCTTTCGGTTATATTGAACTCTTTTTGGCTGTAACGCTCAAGATTATTTTGCTTGATCTGTTGAAGTGTGCAGAATTTTCCTATTAGTCCAGAATTATCTGAAAGGTAATTCAAATCACTCATTTTCCTATTTACTTATTACTACCATAGGTACTTTCTGTGATTATTTGTAACGTTTTGGCTGGATAGTGAATCAGGCGCACTATCACAGATATGACTGCCTTATGTATTTTTTGATTATTGCTAAAATAGTACCGTAGACTGTTTTCGGATCGACTTTGTTCTCGATAATTTGAGCTACGCGTTGCTCTGAGATTTGGTTATCGCTATCCAGAATGAGCGAAGAGTTATTTCATTGAACTGGTTCAGACGAGGTCATTTGTTTTGCTCGGACCAGTACAGTCGTGTTTTGGTCGTTACACCGTGTACGATGTATGATGGCGTGTTGTATTTATCGTTCACGATGGGCGGTAGTCTTTTATTCTCTGTCGCTTTTCTTATTTCCTGTTTCGTTTTTTATTTCACTTTTCTATTCACTCACAGATTTAATCATTTTTTAGCCTCCCGAGGAAACCCACGAGGGATATGTTTGGTAAAAACGGTTGTCGTGGTTACCTCTTTCATCACATGAACGTGGACCGAAAACCGACCAGAGTAGACCTATATGGCGTCCGGCATTTATGCTGGCTCTTTCGATTTGGGCACGCTGACCATTCATTTTTGATCGCGTA